TAACATGATTTCACTGATTGCACTTAGCAAAAATCCCCTGCAAAGTTGGACCAACCAAACTAGTGCGATGTGTCTATCTGAATGGGGTCTTACATTGTGTATGAGTTAAAAGCTATTAAATATTCAATATGTCTGTAAATCAGCTGTTACAGCTATGGGTTACTCTTTTTTTTTTCTTTTCATCCTGATCTGCCCTGAATTTTAGTTCGTTTAGAACAGCTTGTGCTTATATGGTATGTTAATTATATATCATTTTCAAATAATGACATAATTTCCCCTGTTTAATCATTAATTGCACTTATTTGCAAGATATATATTCCTTTGTTTATTGATTGGCATCAGCAAACTTATGTTACAGAAAACCCATAAATCAGCATGTCCCTTGGTCACAAATATTTATATCTGAAATTAAGGCTAAGATTAACCAATAATTATAACTTAAAAAAGATGTGAAGAGAGACAAGGAGCAATTACATCAATCAGAGATAAGCTTTAGTGTGACAAAAATGTATGAAAATTACACGCCTGTGGGATATTATCAATGTGCCAAACTGACTATATATATTCACTTTGGACCAAAGGTTGGTCCAACCTACCTGATAGCCAAAGTATCTATTAATTTTTTGTTAGTTTTGGAAGCTGCATTAAAGTATAATCAGAGGATAAAACATACTGTTGCAAATATTTACTATGCACTAAGAGGAAGAATTGCTGCCACTGTTCCAGTTGCTGCGCCCACGCCCACTGACTGACCTAAACAATGACTCAGACCCCGACTCTGGGAATTTTGACGAGAAGTAGAAACACAGAAACATTCAGTATCTCTGTAAAGTTTGGCATAAACAAAGACAAGCATCCCTTTACATCAAATGAAACACGTTAAAAACTTTGACAAACTATAGGGTAGCACCATTTCATTAATATATTTCAACTATTTATTTAAGCAGTGTAAGTGAAATGCTGTCTGCAATGAATGCAGTAGCCAGAAACTTCGATGTTGTTCCCACCTATTTTTTGCGTTTGATTAGGATTTTATTTCTCAAATTTGTCGTCATTCACATGTATCTTTGTATTGCATAGTAAAGAATGAACGCAAAACAAACAAACCCAAAGCACAAATGAGATTTATAAGTTTTAAGCAAATATTTATAAAATGTAAACTTACCATCTCATGTGCGTGCTCAGCAAACAACCGGAAGTGTACTCGCAGTACTCTCGATTCCAGAAATATGTGTTTTGATTCAATTGATTACAAATAAACATAAAAATATGCTTCTTTCAAAAGATAAATAGGCGATGTTTGACATTCAAAATAATTTATTAGTAAATAAGTAATTTTTTATGGTCACAAAAATATCCTCGCTCTAATACTGAAGGTTAGAGATTAAGCTGACCTAGAGAGATCCATTGACTATGGCGAATGTCAGCCGGCAGAGTTTGACCTTGGAGCAGAGTTGGAAGGCTTTGCAGGATTACTACAACCAGCATGGCTCGAAAATTAACATGGCAGAGATGTTCAAGGGAGATTCCTCAAGGTTTAAAACCTACAGGTGAGTTGTCATCGTATTTTTTTCTTGAATTTAAGTCTGACTGTCGACTGCTTTAGTTTATTACAATTTACAGTGAAGACGGACGGATGCCAGTATGTGCATCTTTATTCTCTTTTTTTTTATGACTTATGTTAGCATAGTTATAAGTTTTGTAGCAATATTCCAGTGTGTACTGAGTATTAATAATCAGAGACAGTTCTTGAAATTTTGTCTTGAATCCTTTTCTTCTTTCCTTTTTTTTTTTTTTTTTTTTTTTTTAAATTGCTTAAATTGCTGAATTAAAATTTTATATAAGTAAATTTCATAAAGTATATTTTATAGTTTAAAATGAATTTTCCTGGAATTTTTCTTTTTATCATCAATGGATTTATTTACCATAATCCTGTGAACAGTTTTAGATTTGTTAAACTTTTTTGATAAAGAGAAAAGTGTCAAAAGTTTCAAGAAATTATTTTTAATACAAAAAGGTCTGCTAGCATTTTATGCCTTTTAGGTAGCTGACAGCCTTCTACACTCACCTGTCATTCCATAGGCTAAACCAACCCCAGTGCCTTTCTTCTACTTTGTGGCAATGTGTCGGATATTCCTGCCTTATGTTTAGTTTCATATGTGACGTAGATTAAACAAACAAACAAAAAATATGTACTCTGGATAGACCTTGAACAGTGAACTATCAGGAAAGAAACCTGATTCTTTTTATAATGGAAATACAGTCTAATAGACCAGGTGAACTGATACAGAAAAAACAAATGTTACCTGTCCCAAGGTTGTCCAGTTCTTCTTGGGTTGCTCTGGTCTGTGTATGTGCTTAAACAAATGTTGGTTCTACTTTCAGTTTTTGTTTTCTTTCACGGTTTCATTTAACTTTGACCTGAACTTTCAGGAAAAGTGTGGATTTTATTGTAAACATGTCAGGTAAAAATGCCAGATATTTCTTGATTGATTGGCATTGTGAGAGACATTAAGTGCGTGTGACCATATTTTAAAAAAATTGAAATTGACTTGTGGTCAGCGTTCCAACATGTTTCCAATTTTTTACTAAAAAAAAAGAAAAGAAAAAAAAAAAAAGAAAAGAGAAACAGGAAACTTGAGAAATATTTGCCTAAGATTTTATGTTTTCAAAAAAACAAACTTCTGAATTCAGTTGTCATTCAAAAATTTTAAATTGATACCCAAATCCATAAAATGATATCATTTCCATGCCTCTTCCTTGGTTTTCTGAAAGGAATGAAAAGGGGTAGGTGTGGGTGAGGTCTGTTTTAGACTTTTTGAGCCTTGTTTGTACCCATGGTATACATATGTGAACTCCTTTTTTGACAGATTTTGACAGGTACACAAGCCATTCCATTTTTTGAAAAAATATACACCTCCTGAGGCTCCACACTCGCCTACATGATGGTAATCATGCATTTAAGTGCCATTCTAGCAGCAAATTGGGTGACTACAGCTCAGTGCTTGGCTGGTCTCATCTGTGGAGGACCCCTTTATGTCACTGATGCGCTATGTAGTAGTCAGTAATTCTTTTTAGACAGCAATTATCATATGGCTGAAATTGATTTTTGAGATGTCATTCTTCAGATGACTTATTCTTTTTAGATTTTTGTTATCAGATCTGTTTATGTTGGCTGCATTATGGTTCAAACAACGTAGACTGCATAGTGGTGCACTGATCTGTAGTTTTGTTTTTAGAGTGAAAATTACATTGGTATAGCTTGGGAGATAAATGTCTTAGATCATGGAAATATATTTTTCCTTTTCTATAACTTGCCCCTGGATGGCAGCTAGGATAAAATAGATAACTAAAAGATATTTTGTAGAACTCAATAGAATACAATACTAGTAAAATATCCTTTATATACTCATATAAATCAATAAATAATAAAGTTTATACAATAAACAGAGGGATAGGTAGTCAGACAGACAGACAGACAGACATGCAGGGAGGTTAAGAATAATATATATTATAATGTATAAATTTACCAGCTGGAGATGAGAAATGTTAATGATGTATGAATTTAAATTTAAACTTTAATAATTTAAAAAAAAAAAAACAATTCTTTCCTACCCAGTGCCACTCTCCAGACACCAGATGGAGACTTGTTGGTGGACTTCTCCAAGAATCTCATTAACCAAGATGTCATGAAACTCCTGATGCAACTGGTGAGTCTCTCTCTCTCTTTCTCTCTCTCTTATTTCTCTTTTAAAATTTGCTCTGCATCAGTTCCATGCATCTGTGTAATATCAGGTGTTGTCTGCCTTGTGTGTGCATCATGTTGTGGAAAGGTTAAGAAAAGGTATAGTCTTGACAGGAAATGATCTAGACAGTGCCACACAGATTTTGATTTCTTTTGTAATTTGTTTCTCAGAACAGTATATACTAGTAAAAGTTTCAATTATGGTCCTTTAAAGGTCAGAATATACACATATTGTGTTTTAGCAATACATTGAAAGACAAATTAAGACAATTGTATGTATGGATCAAAATTTTGTCTTAAAGTAAAGACATTTGTATATACTGTGTTTTCAAGCTAAACTTAAGATCCATGGAAACAATTAATGACCCATTTAATTATAGTATACATATGTGTTTTAAAGATAAATTTTGGCACTCAGTTGCTCAACCCAATTATTTTGTCTTTTTGTCCATTTTATCAGCATGTGGCATGATCACATGCTTTGTTGTGTCCTTTTTTATCCACAACAAACCCTGCACAAATATTCAAACTTAGTATGATAGCCAAGGATATGAAACCAGTGAATTACAGAGCACGTACAAAATGGTGCCTTTAAAACCATTCCCTCGATTTGCACAAATAATTTGCTGCCAATTTTGTGTCCTTACTGAACATTCTAACCTGGCGTGTAATAACCTCAATTGTATTGATGAAATGACATCAGTGAAAGAAAGATGTGGTGTGTGAAATGAACCTGATTATATCATAATTCAGATAGCTAAGATAGCACTATCATGTACAAATCTAAATCCTTGTTGAATATGTAAGACTGATGAGAACACCTGTATGAATTTGAAGCACTTTTGTCAAGTTGACCTTTGAGAACACCTTTAAACAAATACTATTTTACTAGTATGATGTTGTCATCCAGCATGTTCTGTCTTTTGTTATAAACACAGTAAAGATTTTAGTTGTTGTTTCCCATACTGACATGTGGGATTTCAAATAGTAAATTGATAAAGACTGAAAAAATTATAAATATATATATAGTAATAATGAACTAAGTAAAATAATTAAAATTAAAATTGTTATAATAATAATAATAATAATAATAATAATAATAATAATAACGAATAGAAATCGTTTCCTAGAAATTTCACCAATTCCCCTTCCTGAATCGTCAACGTACATCATATTCTGTTAAAAATTGATGATCTATAACTTATCCTCCAGTTATAAATTCATTTTTACTATCAGTAGTGAAATTCACCAAGCCCCATTTATATTAGGAGATATTGTGATTTTTTTCTAGGCAAAAGAGCGTGATGTGGAGGCTATGAGGGATGCCATGTTTAGTGGTGAACGAATCAACTTCACAGAGAACAGAGCTGTATTGCACATTGCTCTTAGAAACAGAGGGAATAAACCTATTATGGTGGACAGCAAAGATGTGAGTTGGTTTGTGCATTCTATGCTTTGGAAATTAGGATGTCATTTTGTTCTTGTGTAGTGTTATGATAAGGGGACTCTTATATTCAGAGAAGGAGAAAATATTGCATTTCTACACAAAATACGTTCATTTTTGCATCTGAATCGGAATCTTTGAAAATTACTAACAAGCAAACCATCCTCCTAAGAGAAGGATAGTTTTTTCCAGTTTGATGACTACCAGAGGGTCAGTATTGTAGTAGTTACAGGAAAGTATTTGAATTTAAAGTTAAGACTGGCTTTCAGTCTCAAGATCTTTTGGTAAAACCAGCCCTTACTGAAGTAAATGAGAACACTGCCAGTATACTCACAGTTTAAGTTGGACTTGATGAGAATATATAGCTTTATATTACCAAGTTTTCTTGTTGTGCCACAGGTAATGCCAGATGTGAATGCAGTACTGGCACAGATGAGACAGTTCACAGAGGCTGTCCGTAATGGTCAGTGGACTGGCTACACTGGGAAGAAGATGACCGATGTGGTCAATATTGGCATTGGAGGGTCTGATCTGGTAAGACACTTATTATATATTGGTCGATTTGACTTGGTCTCTTATAACAAATATGACAGCAGTGCCAGATTCCTTAAATGGAACTAAACTGGTACTTCACACCTAACACATTTTGTGCCCTACCAAATGTATTTTATATCCTACCCAGAGTAACATGTCCTTTTTCACACCTAACACAATCTGCTTTACACTTAAAGGTACATACGAACCGAGCATCGGTGGAGCGTGTATTCCCAGTAACACATGTAAACCACTTCTACTNGTCAGCATCCAGCCCCCCCCCCCGATGATCCCCCCCAAGGAATATATATTTATATGCAGATATACCCATTTTACTAATATATTTAATGTGATAATACCACTTCATCATTTAGCATTACAACATTGAGTACAAGTACAGAAAGTGTTAGTCAGTGTTTTATCAAAGCATAAGCACCTATCCTCCAGGTAAAGTTGGGGTAAACAGATAAACAGGTGAACACATTTTATAAATATTTTCAGTGAGGTGGGCAGTGGGTATTATAGTCACTCGAAAAGTGACAGATGATCAAAGGGATTCCTGGATAAGCTAGAAATTGTTTACCCCACCTGTCTCCAGAGAAGCAGTTTGACTCAAGACTTACTTACCTGGATGAGTGAGGTCATCTGTTTACCCAGCCTTTACCTGGATATATGCTTTGATCAGATTAAAATAAGTGCTTTTTACTTCTTTTTCTAAATAACTCTGTACTTCTACTCCGTGAAAATAATTTGTTTAATGAAATTAATATTCTCTATCCTTAAGTTGCATCATCTCACTAAGAAATATATATATAATGGATGAAAAGAATTTAACCTTATACTCTTTACTTTATATTTGTATATAAATATATATTATTTGGATTAGGGGGACAATTGTCCTGGGGGAAATCATCCGGGGGTGGGGGAGTCCTGATTCCCAATTGATATTTCTATTAATGTAGTTAACGAGAAAAAGGAGATTGGCAAAAATAATCTGCATGAGATTAATCCTCCTCGTTAAACATTAAAGGGATAAAAACTCTTCGTATGATATCTATATTTCACAATAAAAACATTGTGAACAACTCATATAAATATAATATATTTTGTTTTACCACAAAAATGGCATTTATAGCTATTATTCTGATATCTGAGCTTGTCTTCCGACCACGTGACCTCCACTGATGGCTGTACTCTAATCTCTTAAAAGATTTTAACAAAAAACCAAACTTTATAGAAAAAAACCCGGAGACCAACTTTGAATGTAAAAATGGATTCATTAACCATTGGTAAGTATGGGAAAATTGTTGTTAACTCCAGGAAAATTCATTTTTTTGGCCAAAATGAAGAGTTATTATCCCTTTAACCTATTGTTAAATATAGATATATAGTTTAGCAGTACCATGCCTTCTCTGACCCTTTTTATTAAAATGACATAATATTCACAGTCTCGTCAAAACTGGATCTTAGAATATTCTGCTCTGAATGTAGACGTATTAAAAACTGTGCTACCAAATTAAAACAGTAACGAAGGAACGTGTGACTCAAATGGATGCTGGTATTAATCGAACAGTATTCGTTTCACTCAATGTTGTATAATTTCAGGTTTCACAGCACTCTTCAATTTCATGATTTCGTTTTTCAGTATTTAGAAAAAACATGCCTGTTGTTTTACATCAAGCATACTCCAACAAGAATAATTTATTTCAATCCATACCTCCTTTAATCCCCGTACAGTCCATGCTGTCATCATTGTTTTCCATAGTGAAGTTCAATCACCAGCTCCTTGTTTGTTGTTACCTTGTTTCTGCAGAGCTGTGGGCTTTTATGACGTTATTTTCCTTTATGACGCATTTATTATTCTATGACGTTTTAAACGTCATGTCTATATGACGCCATAACGTCACAGTGTTTTTCCAGACGTTGACGTTGTGATAACGTCTTGGGTCTGGAAAGCGTATTTGAAAACAGCGTGCTAAGAAGTCATAAATGGATGACGACATTGCATAGACGGAGATATTGCAGATTTGGTGTTCGCTTTTATTCATGGACAAAGTACCATGTTGTTTTGAATTTTGTAATTTTCAAAGAATTTCAAGGTAATTTTTAACCAGATAAAGGTACATACCATATTTATTCTGAGTCTTTAACGGAATCATTTAATAAGCGTTAGGGCGCACAGGAATGCGTAACGGTGTCATCCACTACACGTACATGTCCGCACCTTTCTGTATTTAATAAAATAATATAATTTTAACAAAACTGTTGTTTATTTTTCCTGACACACACATGTATACTGGACATTTGTTAACATAAAGTTTCTTTTTTTTTTGTGCAAATAGGGGAATCCCCCTGTCGTTATACATTAATGCTTTAAATGCTTTTTTATTTAAATGATAAGTTATATAAAAGATAAGCGGACGATAAACAATAAAGGATATAAATATTGTTAATTGCTTATAACTTATCCGACGCTATAACTTTAATTAAGGTACGGGTACGGTGGGTACGGTGCCACGTTATACTTCAAGTAAACCGCGATCAGTGAAAATAAGGGTACTCCTCGGCGTGTTTATTTTCAACATGTTCTTTCTTTCAGAAATAATTTCCAAATAATTGCTTCAACATAAAATATAACTCACCCCCCCCCCCCTCTCACGATGCCTCCCCCATTTGGAGTCCTGGTAGTCGTGTACATACCGGGGTGTTAAAATATTACAGCGCTGTCCAGTGGGGAATACGAAGAACAGAGACCAGTGAGAGAAAGCGGGGTAGGGGGTTTGCTACATCCTCTCACTGGGTACTATATTCTTCGTAGTCCTCTAAAAACTGTGCACTTTTTTGTTTAATAATGCCCGGAGCCACTTCACATTCAATATTTAAATATTTCACTACTGAAAACAGAGAGATGTCCTGGTGCTGACCGCGTTTATTTACATGTGGCAAAACTGAACCTCAGTGATAATCAAAGTAATTAAAATAAAGCAATTAACGTCATCAGGACTCATTTGATTTTAGTTCTAAGACATCAAGTTGTTTATTATAACCAGCAAAATGGCATTTCTATCTCTCTTTATACATTCAATATACACCATGTATCTATTAAAACTTTTCACATGAAAAATTAAAAAAAAAAAAAAAAAAGAGAGAGAGAAGAGATCAACTTTTTGCATACTTAGGCCAAAATGAAGTCCATAGTTAAAATCAATAAGTGAAATAAGCATCGGCCAATGATAAAATACATGTTGATATGCAATTATTAAAACATGCGTTGTTAAATTCATAAAATCAATCATATCATTTGACCTCATTTGTATTTACGCTTACTCATACATGTATCTAATTCATTCACTCTATAGCTTCGGTACAATTTTATTATTTATATACAAAAAATATAGTGCAAGGTAGTTGTCAGGTGTGTCCATTACCTTCTATCAGTGATATTGATCTCAATTCAAACATCATCACAGTGTCAAATCATAAGTTATTTCATATGTATATACTTGTACGTGGATATTTCACCTCTCGTAGTTCCAACAACAAGCTCCCCGTTATTGCTGACATCAACTGACAAAGGAGACCTGATATTGTCACTCCTTCTCAAAATGCTTCGTTGAAACTTTCTGTCAGAACTAAGGGCAACTACTCTGTGATTACCGCTGTCAACTATCAATATATGTCCAAACGTATCTACGCACACTCCTCGTGGATAACTCAGTTGTCCGTCTCCACTTCCTCTCTGACCTTGTGCTCCGTATTGGAACATGACGTCACCCTGGGGTGTCACTGCATACACACAGTGGGCATTGTTGTCACTGACTATGATGGCATTGATGCCGTGGTGGTATGCACAGCGCAGTTGACCTTTACTGCACATTGGGATAGGAATTCTGTTAACAAGTTGAAAAGATATCATGTCGTACACACAGATGCACTGTGCACCGCTATCACACACGTACACCTTACCTTCTGTACGGTCCACAGTGACACCCCAGGGGTCAGACATATCACCCTGACCAAAACATCGGATAACTTGACCTGATGTTGAATACAGTCTACAGCATTTATCTCCGCATGTGACCATGAATCTATCGTTACTGACTGTAGTGATACGCCTCCCCCCTCCCTCTATACTGATCTTACGATTACATTGACCTGTGCTGGAGAATACGGACACTGTATCACGAGAATTGTAATCACCATGTAAAACTAAGACACAACCGTCATCTGTGCACTGGATATCCCACGGCAGACCCCCCACGTTAAAACAAACATTCCGCTCTGGTTTGTCAAGCCAGGTTACCTTCAGAAACTCCTTCAGCGCAGGATAGTTCGCTCTCTTTTGTTTTAAACTTCCAAAATATGCATCCAAGGGACCCCGGTATGTCTTGGCTGTAATGGACCCCGTTTTGATGGACAGCGACCGTGGTTCAGGGATTTTAGGCAACTGTAGCACAAGGTCCATTTCTGTTTTCCCTGGTGTAAATGTTATATCGGTGATCATGGTATCAAAGACTGGCTCTACTGTCTCTAACTCCTGGATTCTAGTTTGGAGTTTTTTAGAGTGGGTCATGACCTCGATGTCAGAACCGGTGTCTGTGAGCTGCTGAGCGAAATCACGAATGCTCTGAATGGAAATCTTGTTCATTTCTTGCTTGTCCTTTTCAGCCTCTAAAGTCTTCACCTGCGTAGAGGTGAGTGCCTTCACTTCTGCCGATATTGTGTTGCATTTGTTATCTATAAATCTTTTTATTTCAATGTATTCTGACTGTACTTTTGTTTCATAAGTTTCCAAATGCTGTTTGACAGTGGTCAAATATGCGTCGGTCTGTTGACGAACGTCCATCTCTATTTGTTGATAATAATCTTTAATTTCTCTTTCAATTGTTTTACTGTTTTTATTTATCTCCTTAGTCATAGTTAATTTCTGAGAATCTACTAAACGAATAACCTTTGTCTGATTTACTGTCAGTCTCTCTTCCATTTGTACAATAACCTTTTCTGCCTTTTCAAAACGAGATAATTTCTTAGCAGGGAGACATCTCAGTTTTTCTTGTATTAGATCTCGTTGAAGTTTCACCACATCCCCCAATTTTCTAAAATCGTGTTTGCTGTGGACTTCTACAATACATTCCCTGCATATAACAGTGTCATCATTTTCACAATAGAATGCCAGCGGTTCTCCGTCGTGTTTCTCGCAGTACTGAGCTTTATCTAATACGTGGCGTAATTGTTCTCGTATACTAGCTGGGTTAGCTGAAAGATCCACTTGTGAAAGAGGAACAAACGAATGGCTCTCACATGCCGGTATTTTGTCGTGAATATCACGACAAGATGAACAAAGTTGGTTGTTTTTTGGGCATCCTTGGCACATGAAAGTGGCCTCTTTATGCTTACAATACTCACAAAG